GAACTTCTCCAAATCGTGAGAATTCACTGCAGACTGGAAGTTGTAGGGAAGGACAGGAGACCCTGGGCATGAGGCCTGCTGAGACAGGGCCTCGGCCAGCCCTCAGGGGAGTTTCGCCACAGAAGGTGCCCTTACTGGTGGTCAGTGCAACACCCCCCAACCCCACGTGTGGCAAAGAACTGTGCTCCATAGGGTCTTCTGAAAGTAGACCTCCCGGCCTTTCTTCCAGAATGAATCTGAGTGGACTAGAACCTCCAGTCTTCTGGGTGGCAGCCAAGCACCCCTCGGGGACCCCAGAGGGAAATCTCCCGTGTCCTCTCAGGGGCTTAACCCAGAGATTCTCCTTCTAGGAAATCCATGCTCGAAGCATCCCAACATGGTCACTCTCAATGTGATCACTGCTCGATTTGATGTTTAAGTGGCATAAGCTTCCTCTTGTATTGGCCGTTTACGTTACAAACCTCTAGGTCAGTGGTTCTCAACCTTCCTAATGCCGTGACCCTGTACTACAGTTCCTCATGTGGTGGTGATCCCCCCAACCATAACATTATTTTCATTGCTACTTCATAACTAATTTTGCTACTGTTATGCATCGTAAATATCTGATATGCAGGATGTATTTTCATTGTTACAAATTGAACATAATTACAGCATAGTGATTAGTCACTATTATATATATTGTGAAATATCGATTTCTAATTACAAATAAATGAAATTTTGTCTTGAAGCATGGTGTAGCATGGGTAATAGTCTTCACGCAGGTTACTCTCTCTTATGTGGGTGTATCTGCATGTGGGCAGACCCACCTGGAGACAGATAGAGGAGCGGTGTCTCAGTTCCTAAGGCCATTGAAATATGTGTTTTCCAATAGTCTTAGGCAACCCGTGAAAGGGCCATTCGACCCCCAAAGGGGTCACGACCCACAGGTTGAAAACCGCTGCGCTAGATTGACTTCCATTGTGCAGAATATGGTGTTTCTCAGCCATGGTACGTGGGGTGGTTTCTTTTGCGGACTAAACTACCCTCGGTAAGTACCTTGCCATCACTGACTCCGAGTGCCATCAACAATTAAGCGTTTGACTACAAGCTCAAAAATTGGTGGCAGTTCAAACCCTCACAGAGGAGCCTCAGAAGACAGGCCTTGTGGTCTACTTCCACAAGGTCACAGTGTTGAAAACCCTGCAGAGTGGTTCTGCTCTGCACATGAGGATGCCATCCATCAGAACTGAAGGATAGTGAGCATCACCATTGAGTAGACATCCTCCCCTAATGCATGGAGCGTCCCCTAAATACAGCTTGGAAACCTGGTGAAAATACAAGCTGTGTAGCTACAGGACCCAAGCCAAGGCATGACAGATAATGAAGGTCCTGGAAGTAGGTCATTGAACTGGGTAGAAACCAAGGCAGGTCGTTGGATTACTCATTCAGAGCTATGTGTTCACTCAAACACGTGTGCAGATCGGCAGTTCCCTGGGTTATAAACTAGATCCATTCCTTGCCATGTCTTTAAGAATGGGCAGGTCAGTCGGAACAGGTGCTTGTGGTCCCTAGGGAGCCCGGCTTCAGTACGATAGAAGGTTCGCAGCTTCTCAATGATTTAAAACTCACCTGGAGAATATAGAAGATGGTCTGCAGGATGATGACAACGGTCTTGTGGTCATGGCAAGTGAGCAGACTCGTCAGCGGCTTCAGGACTCCCGATTGGATGAGCATGGCCAACTGATCTGGGGTGCTCCCCATCGTGAAGTTAGCCACCACCCACACAGCCTCTTTTTGGACTTTAAACTCTCCCTGCAGACAGAGAATGCTTACATTTGTTACACATCACCAAGAACCTAGGTGCAGGAAGGCCAACTTGGTCCCTGGTCTGGGTATGCTTCTGGCAGCCAGGACATAGATAACTTTTACACAGAGCTCCTTAGCAACCTGCCCCTCCCTCTTGAGAAGACATTATCCTCGAAAAGCCAAGAATCAAGACTTGAGGGGGGTCTTAGAGACTTCTAAGGTCACATAGACTCGTTTCCCTAAATCTGGCTGTGAGAAAAATAGAACCAACCCAAGTAATCTACAATGTTGTCAATTGCCGTCAAGTTGATTCTGCCTCATGGCAATCCTACAGGGCAGAGTATGGGGTTTCCTGGGTGGTAAGTTAATGGTGCAGACCATCAAGTCTTCTCTCCTGCATAGCAGCTAGTGGTCTTGAACCACTGACTTTTCAGTTAGCCGCTGGGCATTTAAGCACTGGGGCTCTCTTTAAGTAATCTGTTCATAGCAGGGGTTCTGCCTAGAATGTAAGGTTATAGTGTTGTATAGCTACATTGGTGTCCCTGGTTAGTGTACATGGTTAACATGTTCAGCTGCTAACCCAAAGCTTAGAAGTCTGAGTCTACCCTTGGAAGAAAGTGGACTTCTTTGATCTCTTTCCACAAAATCAGACACTGGAAAGCCTCTGGAGCACAACTCTGCTCTGACGCACGAGTCAGTTTACAACAAACAACAAGAACAACAGTAACAATAAACCTAACGTAGGGCTCTAAAGAAAGTTAAGAGTTACAAAGATTTAGCTTGTGGTAAGACTTCGTAGATGCTTCTTACTAGAATACGTACAGACGTCAGTAGAAATCTTAGGTCGCCCGCCCCTTCTCCCTCGTCCATCTTAGTTAGTCTGGTAGCTCTGCTAAAACCTTTTTAGCATCCTAGCAACACAAACCTTCACTGACAGATGGGTAGCAACTGTGCCCACTGTGCGCTGGCTGCGACTTAAACTCAAGTCTCCCACACAGAGGGCAAGAGTTCTACCACTGACCCACAGATTTGCAGAAATAGCAGGAGGTATCTAATAAAACAAGAACCCTGGCAGCATAGCCAGTCATGTGTTGAGCTGCTAACCTCAAGGTCAGCAATTCAAACCCACCAGGCCCTCTGCAGAAGGAAGGTGAGCCTTCTTGCTCCCATAAAGATTTACAGTCTCAGAAACCCACAGGGGCGTTTCTACTGTCCTACAGGGTCGCTATGAGTTAGAATCAACTGAATGGCAGTGAGATCTAATAAATCATAAGATACTGCTGTGTGCTCTGGGGCTCATACCTGGCCTTTCTCCTCATGCCCTGTGAATGCCTCAGCTCCCACCATCCAACCCACTCAGAATAACACCTTCCAGCAGGTAGCTCCTCCTCCACCTGACTCCCTGCTCCTGCTCCCAGGAACCACGACTGAGTTCTTTCAAATGTATATGGCTTAAATATAGCTCATTCATTGAAAAGTGGTCAAAAGAAATACAGTCAACCCTTGGATAACATGGGTTTGAATTGCCTGGGCCCACTTATACACGAGTTGTTCTTTCCTTCTGCTATTGCAGTGAACACAAGGATATTTGTAACACTCAATCTCTCCTCAATATCAGGAGAAACAATACACGTGTAAGTTCAAACCTGTGCTATTCAAGGGTGAACTGTAACTCATAAGGGTATTTTCAATTGGGTGGGAGACTGGCGCCCCAAACCCATGTTGTTCAAAGGTCAAGTGTATCCTATAGGTGGATTTTCCATCCATGTATTGTTCAAGAGTCAACTGTATTGATGTCCATAGTTGCTCCTGGGGAAGGGATGTAGAAATTGGAGGGGGAAAATTAACTTTATTGTATTTCTGGTTTTTATTATTTGGAGTTCCTGCTTATATTGCCTCTTTGATCAAATTAATGAGTACCACAAAAGGCCACCTTTCTGTAGTGATATAGTGCCTGTAACCCAGTCTGTCCTTCCCACTAGATAAATGTAAATTAGCAAATAAAAAAAATCAAAATTCTCCCTTTTGGCTGGTATTGAGATGGTGCATTACATACACACACACACACACACACACACACACACGATGAGCCAATATGGGCCAGCTCAAGACTTTCCTACACATTTGAGGTGTGGAGTCCTCTTTTCACTGAGCCAGTACTCTAAGTCTTCCAAATTTTTCATGGACTCTCCAAAATGGGATGCCCCTTTCTTTTAGAGGGAGAACTGGGAAACTCGCATTTCATCATTACACTGCACTATCAGTGCCGGTTGATCTTCATTACTTGCTGATCCCATATTTGCAAATTTGCCCCTGTGCTAGAAGGTATCTATCTATCTGTAACCCCACATCAGGACTCTCGGTGCTTTAGGGGTCATTTGTGGACATGTAGGGTGATGCAAATCTTCAGTCTTCCAGACAATACCTACTTCCCAGCTGAGGCTGAGCAATGTGATGTTCTGCCTTTTGTCTCAGCACTCACACCATAAAGAAGTGTGACCTTGTATGGTCTATTCAGTGCCACGTTTCCCACATTGTTTTGTGGGACTGTGGCCCATCCAGCATAGTATTAAAGTGCAGGCTAATCTTCCTAAGTGCCAGAAGGCTGTGATGTGCCCGATGGAGAAAATGTGTGTGCTTGATAAGCATCATTCAGACATGAGTGACAGTGCTGTTGGTCCTGAGTTCAATGCTAATGAAGCAAGCAAACACATCTTGATGCAGAAGTGCATGGCACATAAAATACGGTTATGTATTGACAGCTGATCAAGACGTGTGACCAGAGGCTTGCAGCACTCTCCAGGGAGCACTGGTTCAATACCCTCTAATCCAGCATTCCTGGGGACGTCACAGACGATCTGGTGTCAGATGCTGTCCATTCGATTTTGACACACAGTGACCCCATCTGACAGAGCAGAACAGCCCTACAGCATTCCTAGGCTGGAATCCTTACAGAAGCAAATTACCAGATCTTTCTCCTATGGAGCTTCTGAGTGGGTTCAAATCACTGTTCTTTCAGTTAGAAACCTAATGCTTAACCATATTGTGTTACAGCTTCTTTGCAGACTATCTATCATAGACCATTAAAACAAAGCATCAAGCCCACTGCCATCCAGTCAACTCTGACTCATCAGAGACCATAGCTACAACCCAAAGGATGAGACGTGACCAGACTTTGCCTCTTTGCCTGGGTCTAACTCCTGAAGTCCAACACAAGGCTAGTTGGAAAGTAGTCTCTGGCCAAGGGCACTGCTGGCAAAGCATGACTTACATTTCTCAACAACGACACCAAGATGGGCAGCATGCCATGATTGATCAACTGCTCGATGTGCTGGCAGTTCCCTGCAGCCACGTTGCTCAGCGTCCAGGCCGCCTCCTTCTGGATGGAGGACTTGGGGTGCCTCAGGAGCTGAACCAGCACATCCAGCATGCCCGCATCGATGGCCTTCTGGGTCTGCTGATCTGTTCCCGTGACGATGTTTCCCACCGTGCGGAGAGAGGGGGTCTGGAAGAACAAGGCTAGAAGTTTAACCACATACTGCTAACTCATCACCCTCCCAAATGTGACTCATGCGACACTGATGTTCATGAACAAAGACACCCACAACCTTATTCATTCATCTCAGCCAAGGAACGGCTGCGTGGTTTCAAGGTGATTTCCAGTTTACCAAAAGTCTGGCTCAAGTGGGAGAGAGGGCAAAGGATGTCTTTATCAAGGAATGATGCATCCTTTTCATATCCTGGTGTCATGAAAATTGCTAAGTGCATGGAACTCGTCGCGTCATCATTTCTACTGACCACAAGAGAGCATCAAAAGGTTAGTGGAACACTTCCATGATCTTTTATTCCATCTTTCCACGAACTTTTCAAAGCCCTCTCATATGTAGTATGTGTAACAAGTGTCCGTTGTCTACGTAATTGGTGCCGAGTGTTGGCCTGCTAACAGCCTAGTCATCTGCTCCAACTCACCAGCTGCTCCTTGCGGGAAGAGTGGAGGCCGTCTGTTCCCATAAAGATGAACAGCTTTGAAAATGCAATGCATAGGGTCACTATGAGTTGGAATCCATTCGAGGGCAGTGGTAATGACATA